TTTAATGGTATTGCACACTATTACCTTTGTTTCTTTGTTTGTGAGGTATTTGAGTATATTCATCTAAACTTAGGATTTGGTTCCTTGGAAGGATCTTAAACAAACAAATGTATCTAAGATAAAGCCTCATTGATGTTTCTTGACAGAAATTGATAACTTGATAGTTGTTAAGACATCAGAAAAGCAAAACAATAAAAACAGACACTTCAAAGATGGCACCAGCATCCGGGGCTCTGTGTCTTTGAAGATTAGGCTCCCTGTACACATGCTAACTTCTGGCCTTGAACATGAGAATGTGAAGGGACAGAACATCCCATGAATCCTAACAGTGCATGGCTTTAATCGTCAACACAATGATGGGAGGGATTATTACTCCTGTTTTGCAGATGAGGAAGCTGAGACTTAGAGAGCTGGTGTAGCGATCTGCAGCAGGTCACAAAGAGAAGAGGCCTGGGAGTAATGCTGACGGCCTCACCCTTTCTCCTTCTCATGGTTGGTTCTCATGTCCTCATTTCAGTCTCTGTCTAAAGATGGCAGATCTTGACATTGGCCAAGAGTAGGCACTGCACGCATGTGTAGGAGTGAAGTAGTGCCTCAATGACTTTATCTGTTGGTGTGTGTGTTAGTTGGTCGATTTGCAAGCTGCCATCTTCTTCAGGAGTCATGACTGTTCTGCCACTTAATGATGAGTTAAGCTTTCTATGAATTCCAGGAATCCACCCCATTCTTGCCCTATGGGGGCCACTCTTTCCCTTCCTTCCTGAGTCCTTGTTCTCCTCATCTCCTCAGAGAGACCTCCTGACTCCTAGAGAAGTGGAGGCCTCCCCAGGACACTGTCTTTCAGTACTGTGCCCCTCCATCCTAAGCATCTCTCTGTACTTGGTAGATGTCTTTCAAGATTAGTACAGCACTGATGTAACTAACCTACCTGAGGCCATAAACAAGACTCTGCTACTTACTAGCTATGTATCTACTGGCCAGGTAACTTAGACCCTGGGTGTCTCGGTTTCCTATTCAGAAAATGAGACTGGTGACAGCAGCTGGTATCCTTCCACCAGGGAGAAGATTCCATGAGCCAACCCATAACTCTCAAGGCAGCTCTCAACGTGTAGCAAACACTTGGTCATTGGTGGCTGCGTTATTTTATTTTAAACTTTTTCAATGGACAGTAGTTCTAGTGAGGCAGATAGTATGTCCATTTCATTTACTGTCACGTGCCCTGTGCCTACCCACATGCAAGACATTCCAGAAGAAAGTGTTTCATGCTCCACTTACAAGCTTTTGGAATCATACAACCTACTGAAAATCTCCCCTGTTCTGGGAACTTTATGTATTATTTATTACAACTCTCATGACTTAGTTATGGCTGACATAGCCATTTTACCCTTGCTGAAATTTGGGTTTATAGAAGTCAACCACTCTGCCATAGATCACACAGCTGTTACTGAGTCAAGGTGGTTTTGAAAGCCATAACTGGGTGACTCCAGCCCAGCGTCCTTGTTCCTTCTCTCAGCTGCCTCTGTCTCACAGAAAGAACAATGAGCCTTATGTAAACCCTATGTAAATAGGAGGCTCTGATTTCACGAAACCAAAGCCAAAGCAAAGTAAGCAGAAGTTAACAAAAGACTCATAGTCATCTGATATTTTAATTAAAAAATATACCTCTTCCTTCTTTCTTAGATTTCAAAATGGGTGTTGATGCTGGAGCTGATGTCACAAACACGAGAGCCTCTGCCACAGAGGCCACAGGTTTCTGTGCAGGTGACAGAAGGACTACTTGCTAAGGATGCCTTAGGAGTGACCAACGGCTCATCCAGAAGATGGTCTGGAGCTCTGCCGACCTGTACGGATGGGTGGACCATTCCTCTCAGTGTGTCTCAAACCTGTGTGCACCCACCGCCAGGACCTTGGAGCTGTGCACAGGCTCCTGTAACTGTTTTTGTCCAGGCAGGAGTGTGAAGTGACTCATTTCCAACACACATCCAGCCCATATTGGTGCTGCTGATTCCAGGACCACCCCCTGGGAGCCCTTTCCAACCTTGGACCAGCAGGAATCTCCAGAGAGCTATATGCTTTCAAGTCCCCCTCTGCACCCAATGGGCATGGGCCAAGGCCCAGAACCTTTGGGGGACTGTAGTATCCTCAGCCATAAATGATGTGCAGTACTGGGGAGAAGTTATCTGTGCAAATGATTTCTACGGTCCCTTTCGGTTCCAATATTGCATTGCTACCTGTCTCCTCTTAATGTGGGTATCACACTTATGACTTTGTTCCTTTCTTTCTCTTTTTCAGATGTGAATGGGAAGGATTTGAAATTTGACAGAGGTGTCTTCTAAGCAAAGCCCTAGAAGCCAGCTGGTGGCCTAGGATAAAACTCTTTGGCTCCCATCTGGCCTCCAGGGTCCATACCTATTTCACAATGTGCCAAAAGCATTTTATAGAAAACACACTCACCACTGTTCTTGATTCCCATCTCTTTGGGTTCCCTGCTTCCTGTTGAATTTGCATTTTCTGGCACATCAGAGCTTTCTGGGGTTCTTCATGTTACTGTGGAAATGGCAGGAAGGAAGGAAGGAAGGGAGGGAAGGAGGGAGGGAGAGGAAGGAAGGAAAGGAGGAAGGAAGGAAGGAAGCAAACGAAGAAAGAAAGTGAAAGAAGACAGCTCCCTGTCCCTCTGTGTTACCAACATGAAACTCATGAGACCATACTGTCTTGCCACATGACTGGCAGTGGATTTGTTTCCATGCAGTGAGATTTTAGGACTCAGGCAAGGAGGATGTGCCTTTTCTGGTAGACAGCATCATCCTGTCCTGCTGGGAACAGTCACACTGACCACTGTGGCAGGAGACACTCAGGGCTGCTTTGGTGCGAGGTGCAATGGAGGGCATCAGAGGAGAAACAAAACCATGTGGTACAGGAACTGGCTCCCAGCGTGGGGAACATCAAGCCTCCCGTGAGGGGTCCGCAGGACAGGTGCCTCCACACCTTCCCACAGGCACTCGAGGACGTTCTGCTGCCCACTCTCATGGCCATGGCCTCCCTGTGCTCACCTTTCTCCTCTGTGGCCCCAGGAACCTTGTGTTCTCATTCTGACCACGCTATTCTAGAGGGGCAGAACGAAAGTCAGTGCTGTTGTAAAGTGTTGTAGTGACTTCAAGCCCGGGCGCATCTTGTCTGGACGTCAGACATCACAGTGGGTCTTGCTTCACTGACACCAAGTTCCATGAAGGACCCAGGGCAGTCTCCCGGCCCTGTCCCCGCTCCAGTGGCTTTCTGCTGTCCTTGCCTTCTGCCCTTCTCCATTTCAAAGCCAAGGACAGCCCAGCAAGTCTTCTCAGGTTGTCATCTCTCTGGGTGTGACCATCACGCCTCCCTCGCCCTCATCTCAGGACCCTTGTGGTTGGTTACGTTGGGCCCAACGCAATGTCGTACAATAATCTCCCTCCTGAATGCAAGTGATTGGTCGCTTTCATTTTACCAGCAATTTAGTGCCCCGTCTAGTGGCTGAGCTGTCCCGTGACCCCAGGATTGTGCTACTCAAAGATGGGCAGGAAGAGGACAAAAACCTTCTTCCCTTTAGACCACACACAGCTCACTCTCACCTAGTTCACCCGTTTAACAAGAAGTATCACATCTTGCTGAAAAATCCTACCGCATCTCAGAATATTAATCATTCTGAGATTGCAACAGAAAGTTCAATATGTACCTATTTCCAGCAAGAGGACAAAGGACATATTCATAAAATATTTAAATTACAGCCCAAGGAACGTCTACTATTAAATGCAACAGAGGTTATCAATGTGATAAATAATAATAAGTGATTTCATTTTTTAAAAGGATTTAACTGTATACCCAGCAATGAACTGAGCATTTTTCACACAGATCCTCTTTTAACTTCTAAACAGCTATGAGGCAGGTGCTATTGAACCTCACACATGACAGTTAGGAAATATGGACTTTTTAAAAGAGTATCAGTGTGCTGCTAAAGGCCACAGAGCTCGGGTATGGGAAGCAGGAATTTGAACCTGGGTTGGGGCCTCTCTCCGAACCATTGGACAACACTGCCACTTTTGTTCAGCTGTTTAGATCTCAGATTGGCCTCTTCCCTCTGCTCCGCTTGGCCAGAGGTGGGTGAGCCTGGGCTGAGGAGGGAAGGAGTGAGGGCCGGGCTCCCAGCATACCCTGGGGACCATCCTATGTATGGAGCAAGGGGTGAAGAGTGCAAGTCACTCTGGCCCTCACACAATTACCTGCACGTTCATCCACCAAGCACTCATCTTGCAGACACTGTGGATATCCAAATGAGCAAGACACGGTCTCTTCTCTTCTCCTCAAGATCCAGGGATCAGATGGAGAAAATAAATAGAAATCATTTGCTATATGCAATAAACTGACACTTGGATACAGCAAAAAAGTATTGCACACATGCTATCAGGTGCATTAAACATTGTAAATAGCTGGAATTAATCCCACCCCTCTTCCTCGTGTAATGACTTACCTGCTTATTGACTGTTCAGACTTGCCACAGAAGCACTCTGTGCTACTTATGTCCTGCTGCTGGACTTATAGCCCATCTCTTTTTTTTTGTATAGTTCTGTGCATCTTATTTATGGGGCCTTGATGTCTTTTGTTGTACAGTACACCTCGTTTATACAGCGCTGTAATTTTTGCTGATTGTACTATACAGTACAGTGCTGTGATTTTATGTTCTGTTACTCATTACAGCACTGTGTGTAAGAGTTACAAGTAAAAGCAAACACACCAAGTTGGGGTTTCCTTTAACCATTTCTTTGTTCTGAATATTGTAATGCATTTACTATATACAATTCCTTATTTAGCAGCCAATGAATTTCCCATTTCCTTTACTCATCTACTGGTGGCATGGAGCTCAGTCATTAGATAAGGGATGTTTTTATTCCCTTTTCCTGGAAGGGCAGCTAAGTATGCAGTAACTTGCCCAAATCCCCACAACTAGGAATCAAGTGCAGCCCTACCTGGCTCCAAATGCTCCTCACTCATGTTAAACGGCACGAGACCCTCTCACAGCCTACTGGAACAGGGGTTGGTCAGCTCTTTCTTAAAGGGCAAAACAGTTAGCATTTCAGACCTAGTGGGTGGAAAGGGAATGGGAGAATATTATGTAGATAGATACTTACATATTGTGTAATGCAAAGCCACTTAAAATTACAAAAACTATTTTCAGCTCACAAACCATACACAGGTGCAGCCAGGATTTACCTACAGCCTGCTGACACTAGTTCCAGGGAAATTTCTCCCTTCCTTTGAGAATCTATGGCACAGATATCGATGTGGACATAGACATAGACATGGGTACAGGCATGAACGTACAGAAGATACAGAACAGGTAGTATGTAACACATATCCACTGCATATCTCCATGGGCCCTCAGATACTTACTCTGGGTTCCAGCATCGGGGTACTTAGTGTCATTTCCATTCTGATCTCTCTGCAGACAAGGCTGTGGGAGCCACCTTTGTTCCTTGAGAGCATCACACGGATTCTCACTCTGAGTCAAGCCCATAATGACAGCACTGGGACTGAACTAATCCCCCAAAATTCCCTGAGGAGACTCTGTGGAGAAAGCCAGGCCACATATGTTTTGTTTTGCACCCATGCACTAATTCCATGACAGGAAAAGACACAGCATTGCTCCTTGAAGTAGCTTGAAGTGGTTTGGGGAAGGGCTTTGGGATCCCTGAAAAAGACTGATTTCCAGGCCCTTCAGCCTCTGGGCATGTGAAATAAGGCAGCCAAGGCTTAAGAGTTTCTGAGGAGGAGGCTGGACACCCCACTTTTCTCCTGCCATTTTTCCTTTCTGAGAGAGCTTGGCCTGTGGGCCCTGAAATGTCCACAGTGATGGATGGTGGTGACACCTCAGGTAGTAGGCATACATCCATGCCACCTCCTACAGCCAGGTGCCACTTCAGGGGCTGGTGTGTGTGAAGCTGATGAATCTTCTCACTGACTCTCAGAGTGTGGCACACTGCTCACCTCCACGGTTGGTTAAGAGGTCTGCCTGAGGTCACCCTGCTAGACAGGACAGGACAGGATTCAAAGGAGAGGAGCTGGTGCAGGACCTGGACTGCACTATTATGGAACTTTCTAGGGTATTTGTGGTCGTCATGTGATCCAGGGTGATTTCAACTGAACTGGAAGGACGTTTCCGAAATGGAACTCGGAAACTGTGGTTTCTCTATCTTTAATCTTTTCTCTCTACAGTAATGAGCACTGTGAAAGGAACAGCTACATCACTTGTTTATACATTTTTTTTTTTTTTGAGACAGGATCTTTTGAAGTCCAGCTTCAAACTTACTCTGTAGCCCAGGCTGGGCTCCTCCCCGTCCGTCTCCCAGTGCTGGGATTATAGGTGTAAACCACCATGCTTGGTTGGCTTTACCTTTGAAGTCATTGGATTTCTCAGCACACCTTCTTGCCCTTCTAGAGGAGCTGTGTCTCCCACTGTGTGGTGCCTGGTTGATCATACTCACCTGGGTCCCAAGGACCGAGGGAAACTCCTGAGTGTACAAGGGGCAGCTGTCTTGGCAGGAAGGCTGGGCATAGTGGTCCCATTCAGCAGGGGGGTCTGAAAAAGAGAACTCAGCAGCACAGCCATCCAACAGGTACTTCCCTGAAGCAGCCAGCCTCACACTTAGGACCCTGGCTGTTCCAGACCCAAGTTCACCCTTCTGATCTGTGTGTGGTGAGGAGCTACTCACAGAGCAAAATGGAGATGGTGACATGGCAGCAAAGTCACGCATTACAGGCCTTGAGTCCCCCAGAACCTGAGAATGGTAAACATTTTCCTAAACCAGTGGCAAACTCATTTGGCAGCTGTCCCTGACCTGAGCCGGCATGAGGAGTCAAGCATGGTAGTCTTGCCTTACCTTGCTTCATGTGGAGGCGTGTGAGTTTTGCTGAAAACCATTTAGTTGTGTGATTATAGCATGTTATCCTAGACCCCGATGGCGGGATTTAACAACACACAACATATGCATTGTGTTCCCCTTTTACATATGAAAATAGTTATAAATTTCAAACTTCATCTGGCCTGAGAGTACTGCATAAGGGAGAGTAGCTGTGGACTAACTACCTCACTACATTTCTGAGCAGATTAAGTAGAATAAAATATGTGATGGGCTTAGCAGCTCTACTGGCATGTTATAAATCAACCATAAATATTTCATTTCCTTAGAAGTTATTGCATTCTATGAATTGGGCACATGAGTTGGACAATTTGCTCTACCGCACTGGCAGTTTTACTGTTTTTATAAAAACGCTACAGTACACTGTTGTACAAGAATGCCTCGCTACTGTCTCTAGACTTTTTCCTGATGAATTCTTCTGGATGTGTTCTCACTGGCACTTTCATGTTTTTTAAAAACTATCAGTGGAAAGTTGTCTTTTTTTAATGTCAGAAGACTTAAATTTCTGACTGCTCGTGCTGGGGTTGCAGCCTTATCACACTATCAGGAGTGGCAAAACTTGAGCTCGAGCTGGCTCGGCCCGCACTCTGGGGGCCGAGGTGTGTCCCCCCCGCCCCCGGGGAAGAGGCCCCGCCTTGGGGAAAGGTTAACCCCATCTGCAACCCAGAGCAAAGGAAGTGGGGTGTTGTCCCATAAGGAGTCAGCTTCGGTGGCGTTCAGGAAGCCACGCACAGCAAAGCCCAGAATGACCGCACCTTCCACAAGTGCCACTGTCCCGGCTGGAGTGGGTTGCCTGCCTGCTGTGATCACGCTTCAGTTCTGGGTGAGGAAACTGAGCCCAGATACAGGCGCAGACCTTCAGCTTCCTCGATGTTGTGCGTTCTCGGTGACCCCAACTCAGAACCGCTGAGCCTGGCAGCAGAAAAAGGATTCCACCCAGGGGACGGGAGAGAGGCAGTCACCATCCCCTGCTGTCTGTTCTGGCCCCAGGTCCTCTGTGACCTCTGTCTTGCGTCACTACATCTAGAGTCCTGAGACTGGGAACTTTAGAAGGAAAAGAGGCATATTTGGGCTCATAGGTCTTTGTTTTGTTCTGTTTTTTCCCCCAGTACTAGCAATTGAACTCAGAGCCTTTGCACAGAGCTATATCCTGGGCCCGTCTTTTTTATTTGGAGACGAGTCTGTCTGGCTAAGTCACTAAAATGCTTGGGCTAGGCTTGAATTTGCAATCTCCTGCCCCAGCCTACCAGAGTGCTGGGATTACAGGTGCCCTCCGTGCCAAGCTGGCTGAAAAGATCAAGCTGGGGGCCCCACCCGTCAGGAGCTGCAGCAGCATCCTAAGTAGTGGATGGCATCAGGAGTCTGGAGCACGGATTCCAGACGGTGCAGAGCAGCACCCGTGGAGGAGGCCAAACCCTTGGGGCACAGTTGCTTAGAGCCCCCTTCCCTGGGAACCGATGTAGCCTGAGAGACCCCATGCAAGGGAACGACAGGCTGTAACCCCTCTGCGCTGGATTCCAGAGCAAGGACCCCAAGGAGCTCACTGTCCTGATACCATTCTGAGGGGACCGGGCAGCCAGCACACGAACCCTGTACCCGGGAATCAAACTCCAGACCTTGCGCTTGCGAGGCAGGCGACAGAACCACTAAGCTAAATCGCCGGCTCCCAGACCTGTTGATAATGAAAAGCATTTAAGAGGCTGGAGCTGTATCTTGCTGGTTCTAGAGCACGCACATTGTGTGCAGGAAGCCAAACAAAGAAGCAAACAAAACATCCGCCTCACATTCAGTTGTGGGTCTCCTTGTAGAACAGCGAATGCTATCCCTGAGCCTTTACGTTAGCGACTGGCAGTGAATACTGACCTGCGGCGCTGCAGACAAGGCTTGCAACACAGCTCGCTCCGCCCTCCCGGGACCTCTCACCAACCCAAAGCCACAAGGGAGGTACCAGCCAGGAAGAGAAATAGAAAGTGCACACGGCCCAGCCAGACACTGCGGGTCAAGGCGGAAACGCCTTGCAGAGCCGCTCCTAGAATCGGTCTGCTTTCCACCCAGCCAGGGTAGCAAGGACAGTGTTGGCAAATTTTCTCCTTGACCTAAGACATCTTTCTACTCAGCAGAGAATACAGTTGCTCCCCTCAGGCAGTTATGACCCACAAAAGGGGGAGCCTGGGGGTGGCTGTGTAAGCCACACCCTGTGTCTCGAAGTCTCCAATTTGGGGCCCTCCATGGGGAGGAGCAGGCAGGGAGCAAGGGGTACACTGGGTGGTTTGTGGGTCTGGAGAATTCCATTCCACCGAGTACGACGTTGTTTTTGCAAACGTCCGCACCCACACACAAATTGTAAATAACCCTGGCCTTGAAGTTAGCAAGAGGGAAATGAAATATTCTATCAAAAGGCAGGCCCTGTGCCACCGCAACTGCGGTGATGAAGAAGTCCCCGATGTTGTTCCTCCTGGCCCCTGAGCCTGCGGGCCGCCCTGTGTCCCTTCTGCAGCCCCCACCCCCACCCCCTCAGGGGCTAAGCACTGCAGCTCTCTGAGTGGCTTCCTCAGCCTCCTGAAGCTCTCACGTTCTCTCATTGCCATCTCTCCTGTTTCCAGGAACAATGACTGCACAGAAAATATCATCTTGCCTCCGATTGCGATCTTCATGACTTCATCTGTGTGCACCACAGAGACCAAGAGAGCTGAAGCGTGGACAGGATCCGTGGCAGTGCGGGGCCTTCCTTCCAACCTCCAGCGAGATAAACTTTCAGACAAGCAGCTTTGTGTGTGGAGGGCGGTGGGAGGAGGTGGATGGATGAAGTGGAATCTTTATTCTCAGCCCAAGCTCCTGTTTCCCAGGACAGTGAGCAACTTGTCTCTTGGGAAATCCGCCCTGAGCGTTTGCCTGTGTTGGAGCTTCAGGACGGGGAAGACCTGGGTGTGCACAGCCACTGACTCCCAGCCCTGCAATGATGCTGCCAGCCCAGGTCAGCCCTGCTGTGGTTGCTGGCTGGGCCTGCTCAGAAGGACCAGGCTCACTCAAGCACACACATGTATTTGATTGCACATTTATCGACCCCTTCCAGACCAGAAGCTGGGGATGCAGAGGCTCTATCTATCTGTATCTGCACACCTGCAACCCCAGCATTCTGGGAGTCTGAGGCAGGAGGGTGGCAAGCTTGAGCCCAGCCTGGGAAATTGAGTGACTTAGTTAGGCCTAGTGTGAAAATAAAAAATAAGAGAAGGGCTGGGAAGGAGCTTAGTGCAAATGCTCTCCTTTCAATTCCAGTTCCACCCAAAATAAACCTGCAACTGCCTCGATTCTCCAACTCCCACCCCAGCACATAAGGAGCAACCAACAAATGATTTTTAATGAACTTGGAGTTGGGAAATAGTAAATTCCTCTTGGGAACTTTTCCTGTCTCACCACCACCTCTAATCACATGAGAACAAGCCCTGCTCACTAACAGGGCCGCTCCCCTTGGTGCCTGTCCACACCGAGACCTCCGCCTGGACCATGGGGTTCCTCCTGCAGCTCTGAGAGAGGGGGAGCAGCTGCCCCCCACTTCTTGGGAGGAACAGAGATGCAAGGTGGTTTTTCTTCCACCCAAGCATCCAGAGCAGCCGGGAGAGCTCTGCAGAAGACACGAAACCAAATGCTTTTCAGCACAGCAGAAGCTATGAATGCTGATCATCACCTTCCAGGCAAAGCACGTTCATCTGACGCACAAGCTCCCTTTTGAATCTGCTTAAGAATATCTCACACAAGGACAACAGCGAGGGACAGGGCTCAATCTGCTAGACAGAAGGGGCATGGGGCTCAAAGGTAAGAATGCTCGTGAAGTAGCTGGGATAAAGCTCTCTCCAGGTTCTTGAAAAACAGCTCAAAGGGGGAAGGACTGATTACTTTGCAATGTCGTGGAGACACAGGGATGAAAGTAAAGTTAGGCTACCTGGAAAGAAGAACAAAACAAGCTAACATGGGCCAAATGGAAATGTAATTACTGCTGTAAAGTAACATTAAAGACTATTTTCATACTTGGAGGCACAGGAGACCTTCCTCGGTAATGCCAAAATCCTGAAGTCTACAAAGGAAGATCAAATTAGCAGCTTCAGTAGTATTCAAACACATTATTAACATTTCTCAAATCCTGAATAGAAAGCAACTCCACACACACACACACACACACACACACACACACACACACGACAAATAAATGATTATAGAAGCACCTGTGACTCACATAGAGTAAAAGGGTAATAGCTCCAGGATGCAAGTAAGTTCTTATTCTACAAATTGAGAATTAGAAGACAGATTAGAAGAGTGGATGAGGGCAGAGTTTTAAGGGCTTTCTCCTCCAAAATACTGATTTTCTTGATTTCCACGCAGGAAGTGAAACTCCGATTTTCTATGAAGTTCTACGGGGAATGGCCCTTCTTGCATGAGAGGCCGAGTTCTGACCCTGAGCTCTCCTGCAGTGTCCTAAGGACCTGGAAATCCCCTTTATTTGATGAGTGCTTGTCAAGCACCCTGCCCCAGGAAGCATTTGGGAGGATGAGGGTGCTAAAGTGTAGAGTTCCAGGGTGGGCAGAAAGAGGAACTCAGTTCTTTCCTTCTACTTTTCTTCTTCTCTTTCATTCTACTGCTTCAAAGTTGGGGCTTTGTGAAAGGAAGGGGGAAGAGAGGGAGGAAGGAGTCCCAAATCGGTCCGTCTAGGTTTGGCCCTGGTGAAGTTCCTGCTTTGGCCACACGATGGCGGCAGAGCCCGGAGCGCTCCGTGCCCTCGGGCCTGACTCCTTAAATCCCCAGCTTCAAAGCCATTTGCCGGGGTGTGTTAGCAATCCAGCCGCCGAGTCAGCGCTCTGCCGCAGCCCTCTGGGCGGAGACTTAAGGCCGAGGAACTCGAGAATCTACAAGAGATTCACGGCCTTTCTGGAAGAATCCCAGCAAGAGTTTGACAGTAAGGAGTCCTTGGTGGTCCTCCAGCGGAGCGTGCAAGGCGGGCACGGCGTGCCCTCCCGGGCTGGAAGGATGGTCAGGGCAGTCGGAGGCTCCGCACTAGGAGGCCTGGGATGGAAATGCGAGCGGTGACTCGGGGCCAGAGTAACCAGGACACCCGTCCAGTCTACACCTCACAGAGGAGCTGTGCTCTCCGCTGTCATCTCCGGGCCGCCCAGGCTTAGCGCCACTGCCCTTCTGTCCCTAGTGCCCATGTTTTTTTGCATCCCGCAGAAAGATTCCCCCAGCCCAGGAAGAGGCTGGTGCTCTCTGTTTCGGGGTCTCGTGGGCCGTCTGTCCTGCAACCCTTCAGAAAAGCCCAGGTCCCTCGCACGCCTGCCCCTGGGCCGCACTGTTACTGTGATTTTGTTCTTTCTTTTAATGTTTTGAATTCTGAAAAAAACAAAACAAAAATAAACGTAAAGCCCTACTCTTGCCCTTGGTTTTGTGCTTTCACCATTTCTCTTCTTGGTCCTGTCCTCTGGGCCCCCATTAAGCAGGCAGAGGCTCTCTGCTCTTGTCTGGGCCCTGCTGGCTGAGACCCCCAAATCCGGAGAAGGAAATGCGGCTCAGTGGGGGGCAGAGCTACCGGGGTGGGCCACCCAAGTTCGGTTCCCCAGTAGTTGATTTAAACTATCTGGCATCTTTGAGCGCCAGCTTCTCAACTGCAGAATACAGAGGCAGAGGCAATGTTTGAGCACCCGCAGGTTGGAGAAGACTGGCTGGGACACCGGTGGCCGCACCTGCACAGAGGCCCGGCCTGGCTCAGATGGCTGGGCCCGCAGGGGTGAGGGAGCTCTGGGTCAGTGCTGTTTTGTACCCCAGGCTGGTGGTTCTGGGTCCAGAGAGGGAATCACAGCTGCTGGAGCCTGGCCAGGCACCTTCTGCGCTGTTCACATTCCTTCTTCC